TGCATTCACAGGGACCAGAGCCAGGTGGTCAGCAGCTTTGCTGGGCCGCTGCAACTCCAAAAAGTTTTTCTCGATCTCTCGCTCATCCTCCGACGGCATCTGGGGGTCCTCGTTCGCCCCGCATGCAGTCCACGGCTTGGCTGCACCATCCGAGTCGTGCACTTGCAGCTCGGGCTTAATGATCTGAAGCAGACCCAAGATCAACTCCTGCTGATGCTTGCTCGCTCTGCTGAAGAAGCTCTTCCTGAGTTGCTCGTTGTCTATAAGGTCTCGCAGCTTCCCCGTCATCATCCGCAATCTGAGCATGAAGTAGCTCAGGGCACTCTGCAACCATTGTTCCCCTAGGGCATGGCTTGGTCGAACTGCTTCGAAGTTGTTCCGGCTGTGGCACGCTTGCAAAGCCTTGAGCAGAAGCGAGTTCGGCAGCAAACCGTTGTGGCACACCTTCAACAGCTGATGCAGCAGGGGCTCTAGACTGCAGAACTGTGCTACATGGGTCGCCAACGCAGTCTTCCATGTCATATCATCTAAGCCTGCGAGGCATCGATCCAACGATCGATGCCGAAGGTTTTCCATACCTTTCTCGATCGCTGTCTCCAGCTTGGAGACAGTGACCTCAGGAAGGACTTTGAGTCTGGTCTTGGAGGCCATGGCGGCCGCCGCTGCCGCCAACCCCCACCAGAACAAAACAGCTCGAACCGAACACTGCAGCAGAGATCGATGTATGAATTTCAACTGTGCGGGACAAGCCTACATATAAAGGATCCTAAACCTTGCACACGATCCTAAACCTAAACTCAGACAGACGCAAGCAAATTTTTCGAATCCGCAACGGGATGTTCACTTGATCTTGGAGTGCAAGAATGCAGAATCCCGCTCTGCAAGCAGAATGTCGTGGCACAGACCTCTAGAGAATTGGGCAACAAAGCGGGTCAGAGCCGCGAGAGGCTTTCGTGCCCGCAGGCATGCCTGCATGAGGATCTTGCCCTTACCCATATAATCCTCGCCGGAGTATGTCCAGACATGGACTGGTGAAATCCAGGCTGCGATCTGGAGAGCATGGACCAGCCAGTGAGACTTAAACGTTAATTGGAACAAGCATCGCTGCTGCCTCAGGTACTCCTTGGTGAGACGGGTCATGCACTGTAGCATGCTAATTGCAGCAGTCACCAGCTCATCGCACGTCTTGCGGCCTGGGTGCCAGCTGTCGGCTTCCTCACGTAGCTTGCGATCGATCAAAGCACTGAACTGAAGCACCAGCTGCACCAGGACGTGAAGTTCCTTGCTGGCATCCATATGCTCAGTCCAGATTGCTTCGAGGGCTTGCACACAAGCCTGGGTCTCCGCTGCTTTGGCTTTGAGGCAGGGGAACGTTTTCTTGCACATGGGGTCATCCTTGTCTCCAAGGAACATGCCGCGAGTCAGGTTCGTAATGCCCCGCATGGATGTTCCGGACCAGAATGCTCTCATCTGAGCCAGAAGAGAGGCCCTATTATCGTCGAAGCTGCCCGGTAGAATCTCCGCGACCAAAAGCCAAATCACGGATCCACATATCCTTTGATCCACACCCAGATGTTTTGTATGCATCAGATCTGGCACCACCGATTTGGGCGACAGGGGTCTGATCAGCAGTCGGCACGAGTGCTGCCGAGGGATGACCCAGGCATCTTCCTCGATGTTGTCGACACGAAGGAATTGGAACATATCCTTTCGCTGCACGCTGCACAAACCGCATGGTCGCAATGAGTTCCATCTTGGTAACCCGTGGGTGAGGTTGTACCACTCCAAGTCGCCTGTGCAGAACACAGGCACTGCGAAGTAGCTTCGATGTCTGGCAGCGCTTGCCAGCATTCCATCGAAGGAGTCGCAGATCTGTTTCCAGATGGCATCGACCGTGTTGTCTTGCCTCGTCTTGGCCAGGTGATCAGACCACACCGGACAGATCAGGTAGTGCTGCTTTCGGGTCGCCGTCCAGCGGCAGAGCAAAGACCGCCAGCTGATGAAGCAGCAGCTCTTCTGCGAAGCTCCTATTGCCGTGATCGGCACGCCGTCGCCGTGCAGGACCACGGGAACTGCCCTCTTGTCAAAGTTAGGCAAGGCTCTGACGGGGTGCTGCCGTAGGGCAGGATGGTCTCCGCATTCCCGCCAAAACCGTGCCACAGACTCCTCTCCCGGACAGATAGAGGCCGCAAAGGTTTGAGGTCTCTGATCTCTAAGGGTCTCGAAGATGTGGCTTGAAGAAAGGCAGCTGTCGCTCCCCCATGCTCAGGGGGATGTTCTCCCAGCAAGGCTGAAGAAAGGGTTTCACCGTCCTTCGCTGCAAATCGCGCCAAAGATTGTGGGTCTCTGTTCTGTTTTCCCCCAGCTGCCCCAGCATCTGAAGGTCTGGAGGCGGAGCGGCCCCGGCAGCTGCGAAGTCGTCGCAAGCCCGAACCGCTATGTCCCTCACTTGGGCCAAGCTCAGCTGACCCCAACACTGCTGGTTGTACAAGTGCTCTGC